GCTGAGTTCATGCTTAGCCTAATTTTTGACATTGTAGATGTCTTTTTAAGCCCCCTTCCACAGAATCACAACTACCATTTTAAAATGTTTGATTTGGTTCTCAGTTGAATGTACAATAATTTGTCAGCTTTTATTTTATTTTATTTTATTTTATTTTTTTGAGTTGGAGTCTCACTCTGTCACCCAGACTGGAGTGCAGTGGCCGCTCCCGGCCACCGCAGCCTCGACCTGCTGGGCTCCGGCGATCCTTCCGCCTCAGCCTTCCGAGTAGCCGGAATTACAGGCATGCGCTACCACGCCCGGCTGAGTTTTTGATTTATTGTAGAGATGAGGTCTCGCTGCCCAGGCGGGTCTCGAACCCGCGGGCTCAGGCAATCCACTCACCTCAGCCTCCCAAAGGCGCGGGATTACAGGCTGAGCCACCGAGCCCGGCAGCTTTTATTTTAGAATAAAACATAATCGATAGTTTAAAAATATAATAAAAGGATATTTTCTTTTTTTTTTTTTGAGTTGGAGTCTCATTCTGTCCCCCAAACTGGAGTGCAGAGGCCACTCCCGGCCACCGCAGCCTTGACCTGCTGGGCTCCAGCAATCCTTCTGCCTCAACCTTCCGAGTAGCCGGAATCACAGGCATGCGCTACCACGCCCAGCTGATTTTTTGATTTATTGTAGAGATAAGGTCTTACTGCCCTTAGGAATAAGATCTTTTTCACTTTCTCCAAAGAAATGTAAAATAGCCAGATGTGGTAACATATGCCTATGGTCTCAACTGCTTGGGAGGCTGAGGCAAGAAGATTGTTTGAGCCTAAGAGTGTGAGGCCAACCTGGACAAATAGCAAGACCCCATCTCTAGAAAATAAAATTAATTAATTAAAATAAAAAGAAATGTACAATGTGTAGATATTATTAATTTTAATTGGAGTTATAGTAAAACGGGGTTAATTTGGGCATAATTGATATCCTTATGATATAGTCTTTTTATCACTGAACATGGTATGTCTTTCCATTTACTTAAGTCTTTTAAAATGTCTTTCAGTAGAGTCATATAATTTTCTTCATAAAGTCTTGCTAGAGTTATTCTAGGTAATTTATTTTCTGTTACTATTAAGACAGCATTTTTGGCTGGGTGTGGTGGCTCACACCTATAATCCCAATACTTTGGGAGGCCAGAGCAAGAGGATTTCTTGAGCCCAGGAGTTTGAGACTGAAGTATTCAACATAGCAAGACCTTATCTCTTCAAAATATCAGAACATTAGCCAGGTGTGGTAGTACACGCCTGTAGTCCCAGCTACTTGGGAGGCTGTGGTAGGATTGCCTAGCCCAGGACATCAAGAGTGTCGTGAGCCATGAACATGCCACTGCACTCCAACCGGAGTGACAGAGACTCCATCTAAAACATATATAAATAAAAATAAAAAATAAAATCCCACTTTATGTTTTCTACTAGTATGTTGAAATGCAATTGTTGTATTGATAAACCTTTATTAACTCTAACAAATTGCCTCTTCTTTGGAGAAGTTTGTCATGAAAACAATAAAAAACAAGGATTTTTTTTCTTCCTTTTTGCTTCCTATACTTTACTTTTCCTCCCCTACTGCACAGGCAGGGGGCCTCCAGTTTGATGTTGAGTGAAAGTGATAGCAAACACTCTTGTCTTGTTCTTGATTTTAGTGAACAATCTTAATATTTCACTGCAAAGTATTATATTTGATGTAGTTTTATTTTCCCTTTTAGAGCTAGTTTTCTAAGAGATGTTTTCATGAATTATGATTGAATTTTTTTCTGTATCTAATAAGAGGATTATACTTATGGGATCCTCTTGGGATTTTCTTTTACTGAACCAACCTTCCATTTTTGACATACAGTTTTTGTCATGATATAATCAATAGCAATATTTAGTACTTATAGCAGACATAAAAATATTACCTCATAGACTTTTTGTATTAGTGTATTTTAAAAGTATCTTCCCCTTTTAGCTTTGTGGGGTTATGTTTTTCATAGACACAGAAAAACACTGAACAACTTAGTTGTGTAATTCATCTTTATGTGTCTATGAATACTGGACATTAGTATCATAAAATTTTCTTAATGGTGCCAATATTCTTGTGTATATAAAATATTCAGTTCCTAAGGTGATAACTAAATTAGTTTCTTTTGACTAAGAATCCAAAATGCTTTTTAAAATGTAGTTTCTTTTTGCAATGTGCTTCTGTACTGATATTTGAGCTCTGAAGTATCTAGCAGTCTATGAATCCACTCTAATGTAATGGTATAACCTTGGAAAGATTTGACTCAGGAGACCCTTAGCTGTATCCTTCCTCAGAGCAGACAGTTTTATAGTGTCTTAACATTCAGACCACAAGCTTGGCAGGAGTCAATAGATCAGTCAGACTGGAGCCTGACTGAGCAAATCTGAAATCAGAATGACCAAATATTGAATCACAACATTATACTAAGAAACACCTCAGAAGGAATTGTTACATGTGCTTGTAGTGACCTTTGTAAAATAATCACTCTTGAAAATAACATTTTTAGTAGTTTCTCCCCTAAAAAAACTATCACAATCTTAAAATCTTATTACCAGAATGGTGACTGTCTTGTGAAGTGGAAGTACTCCATCATGAAATGAGAGTATACTTGGCTTTGCCCTGTAAATCATATACATTTTTAAAATTTCAGCTTATTTCTGAAGAAAAGGATTTATAAGGAGCCATCATAGAGAGGAGTAATGGTGACTTTCTTTTCTGCTGCTCTTTCCTGCCACTTTTTTTTCTCTCTGTAGTTCCTTTGGAGATCTTTGTTATGCCAAGAGCAAGTATTGTTGTAGTTTGATTTCCAGTTTTTTGTTTAGTTTTGTTTTTAGCCATTGATTTTGGGTGCTGTTGACTTAGGTTGTGTGCTATAAGGATGTTGGTTGTAGTGAGCCCTTCATGGCTGCCCAGACCCCTGGCAGAGGTCTGTGTGTTCTGTATCTGTGCTGTATTTTGGGGGAAGCAGTGTCATGGGCTAATATGGTACTTGGCTTAACATCCAAGTCATGCTACCTTGGGCATATCACATAATCTCTACTGCCTTAGTTTCCTTATCTGGAAAGTTGGGGAGAGTTGGGGAATAATCATATATGTCTCGTAGAGTTCTGAGATATAGATAAGATCATCAGTGGGAGTGCTAAACACATGGTCTCTGGCATCAAGTAAGCCCTCAAGTTATTTTTACTATTGTCTCTATCATCCTACCACCACCAATGCTACTGCTACATCTACTTGAGTTCTCCTGCTACTACTAATGCCACTTCTACTTTTTTTTTTTTTTTAATTTGGGGTTTTTACTCTAGACTAGGCATGGGAAAAAGAATACAATGGGCTTTGAAGAATGTAAAGGATTTGGATTACCTGAAGAGTTTTGGGGAATGTTCCAGAAGGAGGGACTCACAGAGTAAAGTGCCAGTGGTGGGAATAAATATGCCATGTGAAGGGAACATTTGGAAACCCAGACTGAAAAGAATGGAGAAAAGAGTGGAAATCAAGTTGATCAAGTGTCTGCTCAATCTGCTCTTGAATGCTAGGTAGAGGATCTGAGAATGCTTAGTCCTATGAGAACTAGTCCTTGTTCATTTTAAACAGGGGGATGACACGAATGAAGAATGTAAGTGATGAGAAGAGTTAATTTGGGGGTTAAGTACAGTATAAACTGAAATGGTGAGAGATGAGAGGTATGGAAGCCAGAGAAGGCAGTGACTGAAAGTTGTTTCTTGGGTTCAGCAATAGCTGGAGATTGAGAGGCAGGGGTGAGTCAGAGACACCCAAGACTAAACAAACAAAGAAAGCCAAGAAAAACTTTTTTTCCCTCTTATTGCACAAGCAGTATTGTTTACTGTAGAAATTATAGTCAAAAGTATTAAATTAAACAGTCAATCTCAGTATCCAGAATGCCCAGAGATAATCACTGTTGCTGACTGGAGGTATAGCTTTCTAGACACCTTTTCTATGAATATGTTATAGCCATCTTTAACAAAAATACTGTTTTCCAACCTAATTTTTAAATAACACATGTTGATCTTTGTTCCATATCAATAAGCATTCATGAACAATAATATGTATTTCATTTTCTATCTATTATTTTTCATGATTTGTCTTTGCCAGCCAATTAAGAGCTTTTCTATTTTTTGCTAATATAAACACTGTCATAAGTATTTGTGTGCATATCCTTATTGATTTTATTGAGACATTTTGAATGGATTGACAGGACATGGAGATGGATGCCTTATCTGTCCTTCGTATCCAAAGATAACTCAATGTTTTGAGCCTGGAGGATTTGGGGAACGATAGTGACATTATTGACACAATATGGAAAAAGGACTATGATATGAACTCAATAGATAAGTTAAGAATTTTTTGGCTATTGGTAATGGCAAACCCTGTTAACAGTTGCTTGAGATTTTTATTTTCTTGATGAACCAAGAGGTTTAGAGGTTGGTAGAGGCTGACATTTGTTCAGCCACCCCACAGTGTCATCAAGAACTCATGCTGCTGCTTTCTTTCTGCTCCTCCATCTTTTGCTTGTTGACTTGTTGCCTTACAATGCTAAGATAGCCGCTGTTGTTCCTGGCATCAGAACCATGTTCACATTAGGAACCAGGTGGAAGTAGTGACAGCTACCTATATCCTTTTTATAAAGAAAACAAAAGCATATTCAAAAGAACTCTCCCCCAACCCCAGCAACTTCCCTACATCTCACTGACAGGACTGGATCTCATGACCACCATAATTGCAAAGGCACTTGGGAAAAGAAAAAGTAAAATTGTCCAGATTGACTTGCCCAATTGCCTGAGGTTTGACCTTGGTTTGGGTTCTGCTAAAAGCCAAAAAGGGGTGAGTAGTATCTAGTAGGCAATTGGTGGTGTCTGTATGCTATATGTTGTGAGAAACTGAGCTACTGGCACATTCAGGAGGTATTGCAATAGGGTGCAAGGAATCCTGATATCCAGGCCCAAGTCTTCCCCATAATAGAGAAGACTGGAGTGACATCACATAACCATAGAGAAAACCAAGGTTGATAAATCAGACACGTAAGACAAAGTTAGCTAAGAGATTTGAAGGCGCAAACCCTTTGGTTATGCGACGTCACTCTAATCTTCTCTTTTATTGTGAAGGCGTGGCCTTGGATACCAGGGTTCCATGCTGCCTCTGTGTGTTCCTATTGTTGGTGGCATTTATATACTGCAGTATTTGATGTTATGCTCACACTGCAGAGCTAGACTCGGAAAAACATGTTGTTTCTCCATGCAGAAATCTCATATTCACAAATTTATAAGTTGTGAACAGCCTGGTGACACGACAAGGGACTGTGTTCCCCTGATGGCACATTTCTGAAGCACAGCATGCTCAAAATTTTATCTTCCCATTTTACATGCTTTTGCAGACAGCATAATATGGAACCGGTCAGACTCCTAATTATGACAGCGGTCCAAAGCCAGAATCCAATCATCCAGTTGACAAAAAACTTGGTGCAGGAAACAGTGACCAGCTATTTCCCCGTCTCCAGTGAGCAGCGAGTAAGAGGAAATGGGTTTAAGCTGCATGAGGGATTTGGGTTATTTATGGCAGAATTTCCTGACCATGAAGCTTGCTCAGCATTAAGACTAAGTTGTAGAGAGAGGTCGTAGAATTCCATCTGTGGAGACCTTGAAAACATGTTCTTGCTTGTGAGATTGCTATAGACACTGCCTTCCAACTGTGCTCTCTGTCTTTTCTCTCTCCTTTCCACCCATCTGGTCCTTGTAACCAAGTGAACCTTCTCCAAAAGACTAGGGAGAGGGAGACTGCACTGCAGAGAGGGAAGAGGGTTCCCGGTTGGCCAGCCAGAATATCATCCGCCTTTCGATACTTCGATTGTAGGCTTTGGCATTCTGGGTGAGGACACACAAACATGGATTCACTTAGTTAACCTGGTACTGAAAAGCCCTTCTGGGCCAGGTGGAAAACAAATCCAGTGAGGTTTACAATGCTGATAAACGTAGAGAACACATGTCCTGTCCTTGAGTACGCAGCCCCTACTCACATCAGCCAGCTCCTACCATAAGTCCTGTGGGCATGCACACTGTTGCCAAATGGATTTTTAGGAGGGATATGAAATCTGGGGAGTTTTAAAATGCTGGCAACTGATTTTTTTTTAAGTCAATTATGTGTGTGCCAAAGTGACTGTTGCTCTGTGGGTCATAACTCTGTGCAGGCTGCTCCTTGGTGACCTCTGATCTATGAGGTCTTGGCTCCTTGGCCCGTTGGCAAGCCCAGATATGAACATGAGGTGGCAGAATCCCTGTTTTGAACTGGAAAACCTCTGTGTTTACATGTATGAGTTGAATTGGCATTTTGCATATAAAATAATCAAATATTATTAATTTCATATGTTTCAATTTAAAAGTAGTCATCCTCGTGAGAAAAATAAGAATATACAATACAGACTTTGTTCTCTCCTGAAGCACCGAAAAAACGTTTGCCTCCTCTGAGATGAGGAAAGCACTCACTTATTGTTCCAGCCCCCCACTTTATTTGCTAGCAAGCCACGCCTGGCAGATAGAGATGACATCAGTGATTGCCTGAATAACATCTATCTTCTCGTTTGCTCCAGGCAGCTTAAAGAGTCTGCCCTTCCCAGGACTAATGGCTTTAATTAACAACATGAAGCTCTTCTAACAGCAGCATAGGCATTTGTGGAAATTTCCCAAAAATCATCCCTCTCTTCTTTCCTCTTTCCATCCTTCACTTGGCTGTAGGCTGTCATTTTCCACAAATAGCATTAGTTTGAAATCAACTGGGCATAGCTGAGGCTGAAACAATTGTTATTTGCAGGCAGGCAGACAGATTCCTTCTCCAAAGGCAGAAAGATCAGTTTCATCCAGGCTCTGCAACTACAGTGATTCAGGTGAAAATCAAATTACTTACTGATGGTGCATCCTCTTAAACAAAAAAGTGCGTCAGGGGAAATGAAGCTGGCAGGACTCTTGATAGGACCCTAAAGAGAAGAGGTTCTACCTCAGATGCCATGTCTCCTCTGGCATCTGGAGGGGGCAGTGTCAAGCTTTTGTCATGTCTGTGGAGAAAGACAGACTACAGAAGAACCTCACTTTTCTCTCTGGCTTTCCCATGCATCCTAAAACTCAAACTCTGATAAAAGCATTTCTCCAGTTCCAAGAGCTCTCTGGATGAATAGGGCTATACTTTTTTTCCTTCATTTCTTTTTTAGCTATTTAATGTTTACTCCATATTGATTTATAAATATCAACCTCTTTGTGAATTTTATTCATGATACAGAAAATATATTTTGACCAAATGCATAATGCATTCTTATTCTTATTTTCTTAATTAATTAGAATTCCAACACCCCCTTCCCCCATTTCTTTGCTTTCAGTGAAATGTATCATAAATACTACACTAAGGAGAAGGGAGAAGAAAAGAAAAAAAAAAGCTGTAATCAAAGACTTAAAAAACAAAACTCGTCACTAAAACAAAACTTTCCAGAAACAATTTTCAAAGTACCTATGAAATCAATCACCTGGGGGATATTTGAAAGGAAAAAAGTGCCCAATAAAATGATTAGCTTATTTTCTTCATATGACTTTAAGAAAAACAGGTAGAATCTATTCCTCACTCCACTGATGGTGATTACTGTGAAAGTCGTATTAATCATTTAGAAAACATGTGACCACACATAACACGCTCCAGCTACCTCTTTGTCTCGTCTAATAAATGTGTAAAGAATTATTTTGATGTGCTCAAGAAGCCTAAACCCTACGCATCCTGTAAAGGTGACTGAGAAATTGCAGAACAGATGTCTGAATGGCTGATGTGCTGAGCCTGGGCTGTCTTGCTAGCCACGCCATCTCTAGAAGCAGCTGTCCCTCTCTCATCCAAAGAGGCAGAATCCAAGACCTGCTATGCATTCTCCTGACCACAGTCTCTAAGCAGATTTGTGGCTCAGTTTGTAAATTGTTAGCATTAAAAGGGCAGGGTATGGTGGCTGACTTGTGATCCCAGTACTTTGGGAGGCCAAGGCAGAAAGATTGCCTGAGTCCAGGAGTTCAAGACCAGCCTGGGTAACATCTCTACAAAAAAATTAGCCAGGCATGGTAGTACATGCCTGTAGTCCCAACTATTTGGGAGTTTGAGGCTGAAGGATCACCTGAGCCCAGGAGGTTGAGGCTGCAGTGAGCCATGGTTATGCCCCTGAACTTCAGCCTGGACAACCGAGTGAGACCCCTGACTCAAAAAAATAAAAGTTATTAAAAGTAAAGGAAGGTAAATATCAAAACTTAATGAAAGGAACAAAGAGGAGGGAAAAGCTAATGTGTACATTAAAAAATACATTTTCATGTTCATGTTCACTGAGCATGGTAGCAGAGATATGTGGGAACCCATTGCCTAGCAGTTGTTTAATGTCTGATGAGGTGGAATAATCACTGTTATTATCATCAACAACTTCTGTGTGCTCAGCACTTTCTAAATGTCAGGCACTGTCTAATGCTTCACATGCATCAACACATTTAATTTGCCCAGCTCTGTAGAGTAGATACAGTTGACCTTTGAACAACACAGATTTGAACTGTGAGGCTCCGCTTAGACATGGATTTTCTTCTATCTCTGCCATCCCTGAGACAGCAAGACTAACCCCTCCTCTTCCTCTTCCTCCTCATCCTACTCAACATGAAAATGATGAGGATAAAGGCTTTTGTGGTGATCCACTTCCACTTAATGAATAGTAAATGTATTTTCTCTTTCTCAGACTTCTGCAATAACATTTTCTTTTCTCTAGCTCTCTTTATTGTAAGAATACAGTATATAATATATATAACATACAAAATATGTGTGGATCGACTGTTTATGTTATTGGTAAGGCTTCAGTCAATAATAAGCCATTCGTAGTTAAGTTTCTGGGGGAGTCAAAAGTTATACATGGATTTTCCACTGCACAGGGTCAATTCCCCTGATCCCAGTGTGTTTTAAGGGTCAACTGTATTTTGTTTTCTACAGTTGAGGAAACTGAGATACAGAGAGACTACCTTATCCAAGGCCACATAGCCAGTAGAAGGTAGAGCAAGGATTGAAACCCAGATTCTTTTTTTTTGAGTCAGAGTCTCACTCTGTCACCTAGACTGGAGTGCTGTGGCATGCTCATGACCACTGCAGCCTAGAATTGCTAGGCTCAGGCGATCCTTCCACCTCAACCTTCCAAGTAGCTGGAACTACAGGCATGCATCAACACACCTGGCTATTTTTAAAATTTATTGTAGAGATGAGGTCCCACCAAGTTGCCCAGACTGGTCTCTAACCCCTGAGACCAGGCAATTCTCTCCCCTCTGCCTCCCAAATTGCTGGGATTACAGAAGTGAACCATTTCAACTGGAGAAACCCAGGTGCTTAACTATGGTGCTGACTTGCCTCTTTTGATAAGAGTGCTAGAGAACATTTGGTTTATTTCCAAAAACATAGATGCCTTTTGTGATCCTTTTTGTTGTTGTTAACAATGACCACCTAATTTTCATCTGTATCAAGGAGGTTCTTTTGAAACCTTCAGAAATGATACCATACTTCATGCCTTTTTTTGCTAATGCAAATCAGAAAATTTTCTCTTTAACCTGTCAGCATCTAAAGATAAAGAGAGAAGAACCTGGTGACTTTTATCTGTCTCAAAAAGGTAAGGGAAAATATACCCCAGCTGGTTCTTTTTTTTTTTTTTTTTTTGAAAGTTTAAGAGGGTCTTTATTTTTTTTTTTTTTCATTAATCAGTATTTTTTATTATGGTTTTGTGGGGTACTGTTAAGGGTTAGGTGTACAATGACGTTTCATTCAGGCACCCTGTAGATAAGACGTGTTTTCCCATCCCCCG